CTTTTTTTAATTTTTCATGTTACACTCCAGCCCTGATGAAGGAATAACATTTTTGTTTTTTTTTAGTTTTTATTTACATATTTTCTATTTTTCACGTTACATTCCAGCCCCGAAGAAGACTCCAGCATGTTTTTCTAGTTTTTATTTTTAGATTTTCTATTTTTTCATGTTACATTCCAGCCCCGATGAATGTAAAAAATAATATTTTTAGTAAAATTTTTAAAATTTTTTTTTTTTTTTCTTTTTGTACTTTTCATGGTACATTCCAGCCCTGATTTTGAATGCCTAAAAATTTTTTGTTTTTGATTTTTTTTTTGCTATTTTTCTATTTCTATTGTTCTATTTTTTCATATTAATATTCCAAAATTAAAAATGAAGGGGGTGAACTACAGCCACCAAAATGTTTTTTTTTTCTTTAATATATAAATAAAATCATTATCGGGACTTGAAAATTTTGCGGTATGTCACTTCAGTAATTTACAGACTTGTAAATCAAAAAATCCGGTAGCTTTCTAAGTATATGAGGGAAGAACTTTGGTATGTTTTGCATAGCAAATTAAATATGTAAAAAACAAAAAAGTATGCCCGCAGGGCTCTCTAAAAACACAAAGTGCTATGTATAGAGACAGGTCGGCACGTGAATTTTGATCTCTCTGTATTTCTCTTTATTATGTGATTTTACATTTTAAATAATTTCCAGTGATTGGCTTACAGGGCGTAGATGAAAAAAGGTTATTATAATATAAAATAATAATATAATAAATATAATAAAAAAATAAAAAATATTAAAATATAATATAAATAAAAATATAATATAATATTAAAAATTAAATATAATAAAATATTATAATTTAATAAATATAATAAAAAATCATATATAATATAATTAAATAAATAAAATCATAATTAACATAAAATAAAATATAATATAATACAATATAATAAAAAAAAATATAACATAATAATATTATAATACAATATAATAAAAAATATATAAAATAATAAAATAAAATATAAATATAAATACAATATAAAAAAAATATATTTAAAATATAATAAAAAAATATAATATAAATAAAATATAATATAACATAATAAAATACATAAATATAGTATAATATATAATAAATATAATACAATATACAATAAATTCAATATAAAAATATATATAATAAAATATAATAAAATTATATCATATAATAAAAATATAAATATATAAAATATAATATATATACAATATAATAAAATATAACAAAATAATATAATATATATAGTATAATATAATAAAATAAAATATAATACAATATAATAAATATATATAATATAATATAATAAATAAAATATAACATAATAAAATATAATACAATATAATACAATATAATAAATATAAACATAATAAAATATAATATAATAAAATATAATACAATATAATAAAATAAAATATAACATAATAAAATATAATATAATATAATTCAATATATAATATAATATAATATAAAATATAATAAAAAATATAATATATTATTTCCACTTTTATATTCCTCTTCAAACAACGTTTCCTTCTGTACACATGCGATTTGTTACATTTTTTGCAATTCATTCTATCGGGATGAGTGTGGTGATTAAAACGAAATTAATTCCATCGTGAAAATTTTCCGCTTTTTTGTGTACAATTGATTTTTAAATCTAACCTCCAGCCTCCCTTCAGTCTTGCTGGGAGGAGTAGTGAGGCAGGGTGCTGTGATGTTTTCAGGAAGCACTACGTGTAGCACTCTTCCTGCCCCTCCCACCAGCCATGATCTGCCTGCATTGCATAGAGAAGCACAGAGACCCAGTAATGATGTCACTGGCTTTAAATAATGTCATGAAGATGGAAAGTTTTTTTCTTAAAAATGTAATTATCATGTCGATGAGGCGGGGAAAGGCATAATATAAGGAGATTAAAACTCAGTTTTCCATTTTTCTCTGTGTTTCTGCTACTTTGATTTTTAGCTTTTTTTTTATTTTTGCAACAAAATCCTCTGTGATACTCTTGTTGCAAATCTTCATTGGAATATTGTTACTGCAGAATGCAACGTGACCCTTGTATGAATGCTGCTGTTATTTCCATGCTGACAGATGTGTGTTTCTCGGTAAGATGATCCGTCTCCCTCTCTTTGTACTGTGATAATTGTACGAAGAATTTAGAACGTTCACCTAATAGTAAACTCATCGATGGAATCTCATAGCAGCTCTAACAGGTGAATGTCGGCTCGAGTCGTTTTCAATATTTATTTAAAAATAACAGATTAAATAAATCCCTGGTGATCCTGCCAAGAGGGTCCTTCTTCAGGCACTTCCTGTTATAGGGTGACAACGCTGTGTCCTTGCCTTACAATTGTGGCTCCTGCGTTGTCACCTGGTCAGACGGGTTTCCCATGGAGGCTACAGGTAGCCATTATAGCACGCATGACACAGGCCTGGTCCAGCGTGGTCACCGACAGGTAACCCGTCCTGAGAAACGCCATGCAGCCATCGCTGGAGCGTATGCAGATGGGAGGTAGCTGCAAAGAGACAACAAAAGGAGAAATGGTTGGAGGAGGAATGATTTGGGGGGGTTGTGATTGAAGGGGGGATTTGCACTAGTTTGCAGTAGAATGATTGGGGGGGGGGGGAGATTTGTGATTGAAGGGGGGATTTGCAGTGGGGGGGATTTGTGCTAGTAGAAATGATTGGGGGGGAGATTTGTGATTGAAGGGGGGATTTGCAGTGGGGGGATTTGCACTAGTAGGAATGATTGGGGGGGGGGAGATTTGTGATTGAAGGGGGGATCTGCAGTGGGGGGGATTTGTGCTAGTAGGAATAATGGGGGGGGGGATTTGTGATTGAAGGGGGGATTTGCAGTGGGGGGATCTGTGCTAGTAGCAATGATTGGGGGAGGGGGGGTTGTGATTGAAGGGGGGATTTGGAGGGAGGGATGGGGGGGGCCAAATATTAGTTCTGGGAGGGGGGATTTCAGCGGGAGGGGGGGTGGATCTGTACTAGGAGGAGAGGGAATTTTTTCTTCGGGGGTAAGCATGTAGATTAGTGCTCGATTTCTGGGTGTGGGGGGGGGGGATGGGTAGGGGGGGGGGGGGGATTTGTGCTAGTAGGAATGATTGGGGGGGATTGTGAGTTGAAATGATTGGGGGGGAGATTTGCAGATTGAAGGGGGGCAGGGGGGGGGATTTGTGCTAGTAGGAACGATTGGGGGGGGGATTTGTGATTGAAGGGGGGATTTGCAGTGGGGGGAATTGTGCTAGTAGGAATGATTGGGGGGGGGGGATTTCGTGATTGAAGGGGGGATTTGCAGTGGGGGGGAATCTGTGCTAGTAGGAATGATTGGGGGGGAGGTTGTGATTAAAGGGGGGATTTGGAGGGAGGCTGGGGGAGGGCAAATATTTGTTCTGGGAGGGGGGATTTCAGTGGGGGGGGGGTTGGATCTGTACTAGGAGGAGAGGGATTTTTTTCTTCAGGGGTAAGCATGCAGATTAGTGCTCGATTTCTGGATGTGGGGGGGTTTGTGCTAGTAGGAATGATTGGGGGGTTGTGATCGAAGGGGGATTTGTAGTGGGGGGGATTTGTGCTCGGAGGGTAAACTTGAGGGGTAGAGGAACTGTGCTGGGTGGGGGATTTTTTTTTTTTGGGTTGGTGTGCTGGGGGCATATGAGGAGAGAGAGGATTTGTGCCGGGGGGGGGAACAGGGGAGGGCAAATATTTGTGCAGGTAGGGGGAATTCAGTGGGGGTGGGAGTTGATCTGCCAGTCAGTGTGATGATGTGGGAGCTTGCTGGAAGGCTCAGTGGGACATGTATGGTGCCATGGATGGAGCTCTCCTTTGACATTGTGGTTGTCCTTCAGAGTTGGTCGTACGACCATTGATGAAAGGACGGGTTTTCGTGGAATCATACGGCCGGTCCTGTTTGGATGATTGAGCCGTCTGTATGGAACCTCTGAGTTCTGTTCGGCAGGCGGCGGCTTTGCGGTGACAGGTGGAGCTGACGGTTTTCTCAGCTGCTTCCGACACAGCGAGGGGGGAGGGAGACGTGTTGTAAGTTTCCTGGAGATGTTTGCCGAGTCTCCGTTTATACTTTCTATTCTTCATGGCACACGAGGACTGACACCGTGAGGACTGACACCGTGAGGACTGACACCGTGGGGACTGACACCGTGAGGACTGACACCGTGGGGACTGACACCCTCTCCGGACAAAAATGATTTAAAAGGTATGGTGTCAGAATCCCAAATTGCTTCTATCTCTGATTGGCTGGTTTTCTCCCCCCTGGGTGTCCTTTGGAGGGGTCCCTTTCCTTCCAGAGGGTCTCAGGTCAAGGTTTACTTTGTTTCTGATGGGTTGGCTCACTTTTTGCTGCTCTTAGACCCTCAGTGCCCAAGTTGCGGCCCATGGGCCACGTGGGGCCCCTTGGCACTTATTTTGTGGCCCCTGCAGAGAGTAGGATGTGGTCATTCAAACAGTGACAGAAAATATTCTCTAGAATGGCTCCTTGTAGTTAACTGTTCAGTTTTTTTCTTGTATGTCTGCAGTCTCTGACCATCTCCTGTTCCATGTCTGCAGTCTCTGACCATCTCCTGTATCATATCTGCAGTCTCTGACCATCTCCTGTACTATGTCTGCAGTTTCTGACCATCTCCTGTCTATGTGTCTGCAGTTTCTGACCATCTCCTGTGTCGTGCCTGCAGTCTCTGACCATCTCCTGTATCGTGTCTGCAGTCTCTGACCATCTCCTGTATCATGTCTACAATCTCTGACCATCTCCTGTACTATGTCTGCAGTCTCTGTATCTCTCCATCTCCTGTACTATGTCTGCAGTCTCTAACCATCTCCTGTATCATGTCGGCATCTCCTGTACTACTATGTCTGCAGTCTCTGACCATCTCCTGTATCATGTCTGGCAGTCTGATGTCCAGTCTCTGACTGTACTATGTCTGCAGTCTCTGACCATCTCCTGTACTATGTCTGCAGTCTCTGACCATCTCCTGTATCATGTCTGCAGTCTCTGGTCATCCCCTGTACTATGTCCGCAGTCTCTGACCATCTCCTGTACTATGTCTGCAGTCTCTGACCATCTCCTGTACTATGTCCGCAGTCTCTGACCATCTCCTGTACCATGTCTGCAGTCTCTGACCATCTCCTGTATCATGTCCGTAGTCTCTGACCATCTCCTGTATCATATCTGCAGTCTCTGACCATCCCCTGTACTATGTCCGCAGTCTCTGACCATCTCCTGTACTATGTCTGCAGTCTCTGACCATCTCCTGTATCATGTCTCTGACCATCTCCTGTACTATGTCTGCAGTCTCTGACCATCTCCTGTACTATGTCTGCAGTCTCTGACCATCTCCTGTATCATGTCTGCAGTCTCTGACCATCTCCTGTACTATGTCTGCAGTCTCTGACCATCTCCTGTACTATGTCCGCAGTCTCTGTCCATGTCTGCAGTCTCTGACCATCTCCTGTATCATCTCTGTCCTGTATCTCTGTACCAGTCTCCCATCTCCTGTACTAAAATGTCCACAGTCTCTGACATCTCTGTACCCGCAGTCTCTGACCATCTCCTGTACTATGTCCAGCAGTCTCTGACCACCATCTCCTGTACTGTAGTCTCTGACCATGTCATGTCTGCAGTCTCTGACCATCTCCTGTACTATGTCTCCTGTACAGTCTCTGACCATCTCCCTGTACTATGTCTGCAGTCTCTGACCATCTCCTGTACTATGTCTGCAGTCTCTGACCATCTCCTGTACTATGTCTGCAGTCTCTGAACCATCTCCTGTCCCCTGTACTCATGTCCGCAGTCTCTGACCATCTCCTGTATCATGTCTGCAGTCTCTGATCATCTTTCTGACTATGTCATCTCCTGTATCTCCTGTCCGCAGTCTCTGACCATCTCCTGTATCATGTCTGCAGTCTCTGACCATCTCCTGTATTATGTCATTTGGTCATCGAACATATAAAATGTCAGTTTTGATCGCCTGTAGTAGAGGGGATGGAGATTGGTCAGCCGTGATCCATAAGCCCTTGCCATTGCCAGCATTATGACTGATCCTCACATACTACGGCCAGTTTTGAACGAGAGCTGTGCAGAGAAATCCCATTCAAGCACAGAGAGAACATACGAACTCCATGCAGATAGGCAGAGTCCTGGCTCAGATTTGAACCTATGACCCCAGTGCTTGGCACGCAGTTTCCTATGGAGCGATCTATATACGTAGCACGCTTGTTGTGATCGATTTCACGTGAGTGGAGCACAGTGCGCTCTCCAACGATTGACCGCACGCCCCATGGTGAGGCTTACTCCATGCAGTCGTTTGCTCTGTCTGTTTCAGGATCAATTGCTGCTCCTACTGATTAATGGCTGCCGATTTTAGCATCTCCCGTCCAGCGACTGCCGGCGAGGGGTTCAGTCTCTCAATATCGCACGCGCTGTGTATTTTAGGAGGATGACGTCTTCATTCACATTTGGTGGTTTTTCTGGTAAAAGCAAGTTTAAGCCAGCCACAAAAAAAAATGTTTTATCTCTGCTTCAGTACAAAAAAAAAAATTAAAAATACTTCTTTTATCTCTGCTTCAGTCCAAAAAGAACTTCTTTTATCTCTGTTTCAGTACAAAAAAAAAATCTTGCTTCATCTTTTATCTGCTTCAGTACAAAAAAAAAATTACTTTTATTATCTCTGCTTCAGTACAAAAAAAAAAACTTCTTTTATCTCTGCTTCAGTACAAGTAAAAAAAAAAAATACCTTTTACTTCTTTATCTCTCTGCTTCAGTCCAAAAAGCTTCTTTTTTAAAAAAAAAAATACTTCTTTTATCTCTTTTTCAGTACAAAAAAAAAATTAAAAATACTTATTTTATCTCTGCTTCAGTACAAAAAAATCTTTTATCTCTGCTTCAGTACAAAAAAAAATACTTCTTTTATCTCTGCTTCAGTACAAAAAAAAAAAAACTTTTATCTCTTCTTCAGTACAAAAAAAAATTTAAAAATACTTCTTTTATATCTCTGCTTCAGTACAAAAAGAACTTCTTTTATCTCTGTTTCAGTACAAAAAAAAACTTTTTATCTCTGCTTCAGTACAAAAAAAACTTTTATCTCTTCTTCAGTACAAAAAAATTTTAAAATTACTTCTTTTATCTCTGCTTCAGTACAAAAAAAAATACTTCTTTTATCTCTGCTTCAGTCCAAAAAGAACTTCTTTTATCTCTGCTTCAGTACAAATTTTTTTTAAAAAAAAATACCTTTTATCTCTGCTTCAGTACGAAAAAATAATTATTTTATCTCTGCTTCAGTCCAAAAAGAACTTCTTTTATCTCTGCTTCAGTACAAAAAAAAATACTTCTTTTATCTCTGCTTCAGTAAAAAAAAAAAAATACTTCTTTTATCTCTTTTTATCAGTACAAAAAAAATTAAAAAAAAAAACTTTTTTATCTCTGCTTCAGTACAAAAAAAAATTAAAAATACTTTTTTATCTCTGCTTCAGTACAAAAAAAAAATACTTCTTTTATCTCTGCTTCAGTACAAAAAAAAAAACTTTTATCTCTTCTTCAGTACAAAAAAAATTTAAAAATACTTCTTTTATCTCTGCTTCAGTACAAAAAAGAATACTTCTTTTATCTCTGCTTCAGTCCAAAAAAAAAATAACTTCTTTTATCTCTGCTTCAGTACAAATTTTTTTTTAAAAATACCTCTTTTATCTCTCTTCTTCAGTACAAAAAAAAAAAATTAAAAATACTTCTTTTATCTCTGCTTCAGTACTTCTTTTATCTTTTCAAAAATACTTCTTTTATCTGTTTCAATACAAACAAAATGCAGAGCCATACAAATACAGAGCTGACAAGGGAGAGTATTGTTTCTCATACAGACCTCTCCCCTGTCAGTGTTTCCTCATGGATCGCCGGTTGCAGTGCCGGCGGGGAATCCTCACCTGCTGGCATGCGCCCCCTACCTGGAAATACAAATCACGTGTATATATACGTGATTTTGCGCAGCCCTGCCGCCCTGTAGCAGTAGTTCTGCTGTACGGCAGTCAGGAAGCCGTAAAGGCCGTTAAAGGAAAAACCTCCCCTGGCAGCCGTCTGCCCGGCAGCAGCGATTTGCAGAAAACAAACGTCTTTATACTGAGATGTAGAATCAGATTTTCTAGTGTATGGTCTGATTTTTCAATGAATGGAATCCTTTGAGGCATTCTCTTTTGTGACCACTAGGGGCAGTGCAGGGGCTGGTTGTCCAAAGCAGCTGACAGCTCCGACACTTTCTCTTTAGGACCATCTGTCTGTCTCTGTGTATAGAGAGGGAGGGGGGGGGGGGTGGGGACAGCTGCTGCGACACCTGCCACCCAAACCAAATGGGGGGGGGGGGGGGGGACGCTGGGAGGGGGGCTGACTTCTCCGCCATCCATACCTGCGCAACGCGCTTATCTGCGTTTTTTTTTTCTTGTGCTGGTCGTGCGACAAATCCATCAAACTAGCTCCAGCGTCATTTGCTGGCAGTAAGACTTGTGCGATTCTGCAATGTGCGTTTTGGAGCCGTTTTTTTTTCGAGGTGTCAATAAGAAATAGCGGCACGGCAAGTGCGATGCGCGTTATGCTGCGTTTTCAGGGAACACAAACGCGCAGAAAAGCGTGCGTCCGTTCACATTCCGCTTAGCTCCGGTTCTCACCTCTGCGTCTGTCAGTGCGATTTTGCTGACATCTGCGCGTCGCAGTAAAGCAGTGCAGAAATAGCGCAGGGATCTTTTTTTTTTTCAAAGGTTTCAAAATGGGGTGCGGCTTTGAACTGTCCGGTTGCATGACAAGTCGCATCGGCGTGAACAAGCGCACTGGACCCGACTCTGAAATTGTAAAACTGCAATTGTTGGTGTCAGTGGGAGGAATTGTGTCAGTGCCCCATCATTGGTGTCAGTGGGAGGAATAGTGCCCCATCATTGGTGTCAGTGGGAGGAATAGTGCCCCATCATTGGTGTCAGTGGGAGGAATAGTGCCCCATCATTGGGTCAGTGGGAGGAATAGTGCCCCATCATTGGTATTAGTGGGAGGAATAGTGCCCCATCATTGGTGCAGTGGAGGAATAGTGCCCCATCATTGGTGTCAGTGGGAGGAATAGTGCCCCATCATTGTATCATGGGAGGAATAGTGCTCCATCAATTGCGTCAGTGGGAGGAATAGTGCCCCAGTCATTGGTATCAGTGGGAGGAATAGTGCCCCATCCAACATTGGTGTCAGTGGAGGAATAGTGCCCCTTCATTGGTGTCAGTGGGAGGAATAGTGCCCCATCATTGGTGTCAGTGGGAGGAATAGTGCCCCATCATTGGTGTCAGTGGGAGGAATAGGTCATTGGTGTCAGTGGGAGGAATAGTGCCCATCATTGGTATCAGTGGGGAGGAATAGTGCCCCATCATTGTTCAGTGGGAGGAATAGTGCCCCATCATTGGTGTCAGTGGGAGGAATAGTGCCCCATCATTGGTGCAGTGGGAGGAATAGTGCTCCCATCATTGCGCAGGGAAAGTGCCCATCATTGGTTCAGTGGGAGGAATAGTGCCCCATCATTGGTATTGTGCCCCATCATTGTGTCAGTGGGGAATAGTGCCCCATCATTGGCAGTGGGAGGAATAGTGCCCCATCATTGGTGTCAGTGGGAGGAATAGTACCCCATCATTGGTTGTCAGGGGAGGAATAGTGCCCCATCATTGGTGTCAGTGGAGGAATAGTGCCCCATCATTGGTGTCAGTGGGAGGAATAGTGCCCCATCATTGGTCAGTGGGAGGAATAGTGCCCCATCATTGGTGTCAGTGGGAGGAATAGTGCCCCATCATTGGTGTCAGTGGGAGGAATAGTGCCCCATCATTGGTGTCAGTGGGAGAATAGTGCCCCATCATTGGTATCAGTGGGAGGAATAGTGCCCCATCATTGGTATCAGTGGAGGAATAGTGCCCCATCATTGGTGGGAGGAATAGTGCCCCATCATTGGTGTCAGTGGGAGGAATAGTGCCCCATCATTGGTGTCAGTGGGAGGAATAGTGCCCCATCATTGGTATCAGTGGGAGGAATAGTGCCCCATCATTGGTGTCAGTGGGAGGAATAGTGCCCCAATCATTGGTGTCAGTGGGAGGAATAGTGCCCCATCATTGGTATCAGTGGGAGGAATAGTGCCCCATCATTGGTGTCAGTGGGAGGAATAGTGCCCCATCATTGGTGTCAGTGGGAGGAATAGTGCCCCATCATTGGTGTCAGTGGGAGGAATAGTGCCCCATCATTGGTGTCAGTGGGAGGAATAGTGCCCCATCATTGGTGTCAGTGGGAGGAATAGTGCCCCATCATTGGCGTCAGGAATGCCCCAAGAGCCGGAAAAGGTTAGCAAAGGGCTGTATCCGGCCCCTGGGCCTCAGTTTGGAGGGGAGGTGTTCTGTAGTCCTG